GCCGCGTCCCGTCCTTCTGCCCCTCTTTCCGTAGTCGAAACCTTTTTTAAACCATTTTTTCATCCTTCAGGGCCCAGGACAAGTCCACCCTCCTGTGCAGCCCGCCTTGGCCTTGTGAGGGCGGCGACCAGGGAGCCACATCCGGAGTCGGGGATTCCCCAAGGGTCTGCACCACCTGCCTGGCCTCGGCTGTGCTCCTCTCTAGGGACTTTCTGCTCCGTCGTGTCGTCTTGTTTGGTCTTCACAGCCACTCAGAGTCTTGAACCCCACCCTTTCCCTGATTTCTGTCTGGATCTACCCAATTTCAGCATCACAGGTGCTCAGGTTCTGAGTTACCGCAACCCCCTTCTCCCACCTGGTCAGTCTCAGCCTTTGGCTGACCGCTGGCCAACATGGTCCAACCCCAGACATCAAAAGCTGAAGCCCCAGCCTCTGCCGCTTCTACCAATGCCCAAATGGATGACGTCATTGACACCCTGACCTCCCTGCGCCTCACCAACTCTGCGCTGAGGCGGGAGGCCTCGACGCTGCGCGCAGAGAAGGCCAATCTCACCAACATGCTGGAGAGCGTGATGGCAGAGCTGACGTTGTTACGCACCAGGGCTCGGATTCCGGGGGCACTGCAGATCACCCCGCCTATCTCAGCCATTACCTCAAACGGGACCCGGCCAATGACCACGCCTCCGACCTCTCTGCCGGAGCCCTTTTCCGGAGACCCAGGCCAGCTGGCGGGGTTCCTGATGCAGATGGACCGGTTCATGATCTTCCAGGCCTCCCGCTTCCCAGGTGAGGCCGAGCGCGTGGCGTTCCTTGTGTCCCGGCTGACCGGAGAGGCAGAGAAGTGGGCGATCCCCCACATGCAACCGGACAGTCCCTTGCGAAACAACTATCAGGGATTTCTGGCAGAGTTGCGGAGAACCTACAAGTCTCCACTCCGGCATGCGCGGCGCGCCCAAATCAGAAAGACTTCAGCCTCCAATCGAGCCGTGCGGGAACGGCAGATGCTCTGCCGCCAGCTGGCCACCACCGGCACAGCGCCCTGCCCAGTGCACCCAGCCTCCAGCGGGACGAGTCCGGCTCCGGCCCTGCCCACCCGAGCACGGAACCTTTAGGAATCGGCCACCACTCGGGTCGCATTTGCAGCCACCCAGGTAGCCTACCCACTTTGCTGCGTAGAAGACACGTCCATACAACAGCATCGCCCCTTTTGAAGACGTCCCTTCCTGTCTCTCCAGACCTGGTCCATAAGGACATCTTCCTTCAGCACTCTTGGGTGCCTTGTGACTCCCCGGCTTGCTTCCTGGTACTGTGTGCCAGCTTTGTATCTGCAGTGCATGTTTCCCTCTCTCGCTTGCAATTCCGGCTCTTCTTGTGACCACAGCTCAGCTACTGGGTCCCCTCGACCCCACAACACGCTGGGGACCATGTGGGCCGAACTGCCCCAGCCTGACTAGGCTCACGGAGGCTCCTTCTCCAGCCTCTGCAGGCCCTGCTGCAGCTCCCCACCTGGCTGCCCTGTTCTCAGTGATGAGCTCACTGATGACGGAGAGAAGCTGCTCTGGCCAGGCCAGTGGCTTAGTGGGGGTACCTGGAGAGGGGAGTCTGGCTTCCCGCCCACAGGCAATTGCCAGCCCTGTGGGGCCCACTATAGCAGGCAGGCGCCTCGTCTCAGCTGTCAGTGGCCAAGTGATCACTGCTGGGGGTATATCCTGGCATCTCTAGGGGGCAGGCCTCGCTCTGCACGTGAATATGCAGTCAGTAGGCCCCACGGTTGCGACTGGGGAAGACTCATAATGCAGCCCTGGGGGGAGCCCTGGGGGATGCACCTCTGTTAATGCCTGGCTCTAGCTGCCGGTGCTCCGATAGTGCCAGGAATTGTGGGGTATCTGGAACATGCCTGCTGAGAAGGTCATTGTGACTTTGGATCACCGGGCAGTTCCATCAAGTCTCCATCCATGCCTGAGCCCCCAGCAGGCCGAAGGGTGGGGTCTCGGGCTCCCTTTGCTCCCCGGGACCCCAGCGGTAGGGTGCGGTCCCCCACCTCTGCCCCATGGTACTCCGTGGTGGACCTGTCTAGCTTGAGACTTGTTCACTTCTCTGTTCGGGTGACATGCGGTCTTCACCTGAGCCCCTTCAGCCATACACGTGGTCTCTAGGTCTCCAAAGCCTCTATGTAGCCTGCCTCCCAAGGCCTGGGTTGTCCATCAGGTGTCCAGCCTTTGTCCAAGGAAACATGGACTCAGAGCCGGAGACCCAGCTTTCCTGGGCTGCATCATTAAACCCTGAGGCAGGAGGGTGTCTGCCGGTGGCAGTCCCAGCCAGGGCCTCGCTGGCATCTGTAGAGGGCCACGCTGTGGACTGCCCCGGTCCTGATGCGGTGACAGTGCAGCACCGGCACTCAGTCCTAGTTCCGGGGGACAGAGCTGTGCCTCTTGGTAGCGATGGCCCTGGGCTCCCTCCCAGGGGATGCCCAGAGTCACCTTCTAAATGAGACTTGGCCGAGCCCTTGGACTGTGATGCCCCTGCCGTGTTTCAGTGCCAAACGAACCACGTTTCCATGACCACCTGGGCCATGGGGAGACGAGCTGTCTTACCCTGGGTTCACCCACCCGGTTCTGACTGGTCCCAGCCTGACTGCCGAACACAGCCTCTGTGCCCAACCGAGGACTGCGTCTTGGGGTACCCAGAGGCTGGGTCCTAGAGCCCATCTCCTCTTCCTAAGAGTTTTGACGATGCTGGGGAAAGTGGCTGCGTTCCTGAAGCAACTGCTGCCTACAGGGTCAAGGATGTCCAGTGGTTGCTGGGGTTCGTGGACCACTGCCACCGTTCATCGTAAACTCTTGTTAGCCCAATTGCCCTGCTGAACAACTGCCTGAATTCAGGCTTCAAGCCCCCCTGGATTCCAGCCGAGGCTGTTCAGGCGGGACCATGGTGCTCATTAAGCATGAAGTGGGGGAGGACACACAGTGAGGCTGCTGTTCTGGTGGGTGGGACCTCTGGTGGGGGGTGCGGACCACTTGCGCTTTGTGCTCAGTTCTCTTCTGCGTGCCTGCCAGGTAGAGGGCCCGCAGAGGAAGGGGTCCAGTGACACCTGGGGTAAAGGAGGCCTCCAGGGGTAACTGACACCTTGAAGTTTTCCACGTGGCCTGGCCCCACCGGGGTGGGAGGCCCAGCACAGGAGCAGGGCAGGACTGCTCGCCAGCCCCTGGGGCTACCCGAGTGGTCTTTACGATCCCTACCCTGTTTGCATCAAGCGCTGCGTTTCCGTTGTAAGGCTGCACGTAACCAGGGCCGGAGCCGCTCCTCCGAGGCTGGCATGCTGCCTGTCCGTCCCCACCACCCGGTGGCCTGGCCCTCCCCGGGTGGGCTGCCGCCCACGCAGGCCGCTCCAGCTTCGTTGTGCTTGGTGACGCGGCTGTGTTTTGCCTGCTGGTGCTTACGGGCTTGGGACTGGTGCTGTACGTCCGCGACCTTCGTGACAGCTTCCCGCAACTTTGGAAGCGGGGGTAGGTGAGGGGCTCGGGGTCGCCGCCACACTGCACCTGGAGGAAGCCCCACATTGGGAGCCCCTGGTGGCCCTAGTGGAAGACAGCCTGGACCCCAGCTAAAGAGGGTGAGACCCAAGCTCCACGTGACCCAGCATAAGACCACGTGACCAGGAGGATGGGTGGGAGACGGCGGCGGAGGAGGGGAGCTGCTTTGTACATATGTGGGGCTTGCGATTTCTCTAAATTTAAGAGAACAGTTACCGATTTATAAAAGAGACAGGCAGTTAGTAGTGTGAAACGGTGCATGTGAGGGAAAGCTTTATGTTTTTCATAGTGTTGCCTTTTGGACTATATTGTGTCTGTTTCCTGGTCTGTGTGGTACCCCATCTGGTAATTCAGCTTCATTGCATAACGGCATCGTTTGAGATCAGATTTAGAATCAGGGGTAACTTCTGGCCTGATGTAGTGTGATCTTGGGATTCACTTCATGTCCTAAAGCATTTCGGTAACTTCTAGGAAAGAGCAGACACCCAGCTCATTGGTCCCAGGTGAGTATGTAGTGAGTAAGAAATGACACAGAGTGCAGGGCACCCCGTGAAGGTGCAGGTGGGCACCCCGTAAGATGCAGGCAAGACTTCCCTGATGCGCTAGCTGCTGTGCTCAGAAGAGGAACAGAACCAGTGGCTCGGTGACCACGAGCGTGACAATTTGGCCTTTAGGAGAATGAACAAATGTGGGGAGAGGCTGGGGATGTACTCAGGGTACCTGCAGGGAGGAGCCGCATGAGTGTGAAAGGACCCACACAGGGGCGAGCGACCAGGGGTGGGGTTTGGGTGGGGAGAGGGGGGAGAGAGCTTTGGGGACGTCCTTCTGTCTCGCAGCCAGAGCTGTGAGGCCACAGTCCCCTCTGCTCGGGAAGCCTTAGGTTAGGGGCTTAGAGGTGAAGACGCAAGCTGGGGCCCTGGAGGAGGAAGCCAGAGCAGATTGTTGGGCCGGCAGCAAGAGCTGGCCAGTGTGGGGAGAAGACGGGCTCGGACGGCCCCATCACCCACCACGCGTGTGAAGTCCTGTCTCGGGGTCCCGACGTGGGGTGCGGTGCTTGGCACAGCGCAGACGCAGTAGAGGAGGCGGGGTAACACCAGCTCCTTGCTGCAGCATCACGAGCTGCTCTCCGTAAACAAGCAGCAACGCACTAGTTCTTTTCATGATCAAAGCCAACCTACCCGTTACAGGAATTTTGGAAAATAAAGTAGTAGAAAGAGAAAAAGTTTTAACGTTTTGGTGTGTCTCCTTCCAGTCTCCCTCGCTCCACCCCTCCCCCAATCATGGTTTCTCTGCTTGTTTTAACACAGTTGTGGTCCTACCTTCTGTAACGATGCAGTGTCGTGTAGCTGTTTCCACTTGCATCGCTGGGCATTCCCCCCATGTTATTACTGATTTTATTTTGAAATGGCTGTGCGCTCCTCCATCAAGCAGTGCCAATGGTTGGTCACCAGTGCTGTTACTAATTTTTCACTGTTAGAAATCGATGAATGTCTTTGTGTATAAAGCTTTTCCCAATGTCAAGTTATTTCCTTAGGATAGATTCTCAGACGTGGGATTATTGAGTTAAAGAATATGAAAGCCTATAAGGCTCTTATTACACATTGATGAACGGTCTCCAGAAACGTCTGTATCCATTTACACTGCCACCAGCGAGGACGGATGTGCCCATTTTACTATCTCGCCGGCACTGGCTAAGTATTTGCTAATCTGATCATAAAAAATACCAATGAATTTTAGTTTGCCTTTTTTTTTTGATTTCTAGCAAAGTAGAACATCTTTTCATGTTAAGCAGTTGTGTTTCTTTTGTGGGTTGTCGGTGTCCTTTGCTCGTCCCTCCTGGGGTCTGATAAATTTGTATCAGCTCATTATATATTAAAGATGTTAACCTGTTGTGTGTCATATTCGCTGCACACGTTTCCAGCTTTTTACATTTTTATAAGTGTGTTTTACTGCAATTTTAACGATACGTAGCCAACCCATTCCCTCACTGGGCACTGTGCCCACCAGACCAACAAGGCAGACACGTGTATGTGTCCCTTTTGCTCACGGCTGTACCACGGCACCTGTAGCGTGCGTGGCACAGAGCAGGTACTAAAAGTTTGTTGGACTGTTGCGCAGGTGGATGTGCTGGGGGCTGGGGGTCCGAGATGGGTCAGACAGGCCCGCCCAGATGCTTATGGACCAAGAGCAGGTCACAGACCTCTTGGTCCCAGAATCTCTTTGCACCATTAAAAATCCTTTAGGTCCACAAAGAACTTCTACTTACATGGATTCTTATTTATTGATATTTTACCATGTTACAAATTAAAACAATGTTTAAAAATATCACTTTGAAAATAAACTCATTACATGAGGACACAAATAGCATATTTTAAAGAAAACCACTTTCTCAAAAAACTTCGTGAGACAAGTGGCATCACTTCACGGTTTGCAAATTTCTTGAACGTCTGGCCGAATGGAAGACGGCTGGAGCCCTAGACCTGCCTCTGCACTTCATCTTTTGCAAGATCATGTGTCATGTAGCCTCTGAAAAATTCCACTGTGCACTCATAACAGCAAGAGCAGGAAAGGCTCAGGATATTTTGGGATTATTAACGGAAACAGTAATACCTCCCAGACCCGGGGAGGGTCTTGCCTGCTTTGGGAACCTCTGCTCTAAGAAGAGGCGAGAACCGGCATCTGGCAAACATCTCCGTCCAGCCTCTGTGGTTTCTTCCACTGCTTCAAGCTTAAAGACTTCGTTTCCCTCTAGAATTAATGGTTATCTCTGGGATTGGTTTGGCGTGTGTGTGGGGTGAGGTTCCAGCATGACTCTTTGCCTAATATTTAAACCACTGTCCTGAGCTCACCTGTTGACTTCTTTTCTTTCCTTCATCGGTCTGTGCGTTTCCTTCATCACATCTGAAAACCTGATCTATCTTAGGGCCAACTTTTCTATTACCCAGTGAACCCACTTACTTCCCCCGGAACCTCCCTTTTTTAAACAAATGGGGGTTTAAGTTTTGTATTCATATCCTGTGGGGTCTTCCCTTCAGATTTTCTTAGCTGTTCTCACCAGATGAACAGAAACCCTAATTCTAAAATTTGCCCGAGATTCTAGTACAGACAGGTGCAGGGCTTGGAAAGGCATCATTGCTTTGGCCCGTTGTGTGCAGGCTGGAGCCCTGTAGGATGGGGTGGCCGCCGCTTCCTGCCTGCAGAAGGCCTTGCCCCTGGGGCTTCAGCCAGTGCTCCTCTGCACCTGGTGCTGGGTTTGGGGTCAGGGGTGAGAATCGGTGTTCCAGCTGGCTAGCCTGTTGCCGAGTCAGTGTCTTCTGCTTGGAAAAGTCCAGCGTGCACATGGCTGTACTGGCGGGCCCCAGACGGCTGGTCCTAAGAGGTTACAAGGACCTGGCCACCTCTTTCAGTGGTGCTCCCCCAGGTTCCAGAACAGCCGGGTGGAGCTGTGGAGTCTTCTCCACAGTAATGTGTCCCCAAAAGCCAGCCGCTCACACACCAAGCACCACAATTAAAACCAGTAGAAACTGCCGACTCTCTCCGACCGCATCTGAGCGTTCTCAAAGACGAGGGAGGCTCACGTGACTTGTCCATCAGCCTCCATCGGCCACCTCGGGCCCCAGGCATCTGCTAAAGCCTGCTGTCAAGAAAAGTTACTTAATTTCTAGGAATGCGCTATCGCAGGGTACTGAGCTGGGCTTTCCCTGCTACAGCCAAGACCCAACGATGAGAAGGACAAGCAACAGATAAACCGTGTTCTCAACGTGGACCGCGCTGCCACCAGCACCCTCGCTGGGAGGGAGGTCCTAGACGTGCCATCCTGCCAGAACCAAAAGGCTGCACGGGCTGCCTGCTTCTTTACCAAAGCCCTTTCTCTTCTTTCTGGGCAAAAAGCTTGACTGCGTTTCCCAGCCTCCTGGGTGTGGCTCGGGGGCGGGGCAGTTCCCACCCTTGGATGCGGGTGGATGGCTCCTCTGTGCTCTCTCCTCCACCGGAGTGATCAGTGCTAATGAGCAAGGTGATCTTGGGAGACACTGTGAAGACGGCAGACCCGTACCACAGAGGAGGCCTGGGCTCCGAGGCACAGTCTGGGGGGTGCCGCCAGGACCCCCCCCAGAGTGGGGCACACAAGGCCACCTGCACGGAGCGCTGAGCACGACAGCTGGGTCAGCCAGCAGCGGTGGAGGTGGGGGCGGCCCAGGTGGAGTGGGCACCCGCCCACCCGGCCCGAGTCGGGGTGGCAGAGGGGTTGCAAAACCTTGCCTGGAGCCCTGCGCCTTCTCTGCCCTCCCCCTCCCCAGGGTCACAGACCCCAGGATCATCTATGGCCTGGCAATGAAGAAGGAAGTCCAGTCAAGAGAAGGCCTCCCAGCCCCTCCCAGCCACCAGGGCCACAGAGAGCGCGGGCCAGCACTGGGGAGACGGAGGGAGACGCATCCAAATTGTGTCTGAGCCGAACATTCTTTAGAGGTAAACAGGGCTTAGTCTTAACAAGAGACAGTTCTACAGACAAAAATGACAAGAAAACCTTGGAACATGGCCAAGATATCCTGCAGGGACCTCCCACCTAGTGAGAAGGGGTTCAACAGATCCCTCCGGATTGGGGTTTGGAAGAAATAAAATGGTTTCCATTTATAACCCTAACGAGTTCAGATGCCGCCATAAATTAAGTGCCGTTGCGCTTAATTCGCTCAAATGATGAAAAACCCCACAAAGCTATGAAATAACAAAACAGGAAAAGCAGAGAAAACCCTGGTATTCTCAATCCTAAAGCAGCCTTAGGGCATGAAACTAGCTCGCCAGGGAGAGGCTGACCTTCACACACCAACTGCCCGGAGGGGTTAGAAGCAGCTTTGGAATCAGAATGAGAAAACTGTGCCCCCGCTGTCTGCCAGACACGGTTCCAAAGCTGCAGGGGCAACGGTGAGCAAGACGGAGACTTTGCCCTCAGGGAGCCCTCACTCTCCCAGGGGAGGAGAACGAGAAACCCATGTGTATCTTGTCCAGGGAGGATGGAAGATGGGGTCCGAGGAGACCTCTCCAGGGGCTTTATGTGGAGTGGAAAAGGGGGCTTACACTCAAACCTGACTGTGGTCCCGAAGAGGAAAAGTGATTATTCAAATCTGTGTTTGTCTTTTTTTTTCTTTTTTGAGGGGGTAGATAATTTGGTTGATTCATTTATTTATTTAGAGGAGGCACTGGCAATTGAACCCAGGACCTGTGCATGCCAAGCACATGCTCCACTACTTGAGATATGCCCTCCCCACCTTGTGCTTGGTCTTAAAATCAATAGTCTTTGACTCAAAGAAAGAGGCTTTTTTTTCAGATTTGGGATTACACTGAATATACAATTTTCTGTTCTCCATAAAACTGAGTTAATACGATACACATTTTTACCACATTGTTACATATGTTTTTTGAAAACAAGCTCACGGTTTCAGAATATTTCCTTATACGGAGGTAAGTAACTGTGTAGCTGGTCCTCCCTGGCTGGCTCCATTTGTAACAAATCAAGATACAATTTACAGACAGTAAAGTGAGGAGAACTTAAGTGCATACTTCGATGTGTTTTGACAAATGTCTGCACTCATGTAACCACCCCCAAAATCAGAATGTAGAACGTTTCCATCACTCCAGAAAGCTCCGTCGTGCCTTCTGCCCGCCAGCCTCTGCCCACGCCTCCGGGGCAACTACTGTGTTAATTTCCGCCCATGGATTGGCTTTGACTGGTCTGGATCTTCACAAAGATGGGCTCATGAAGTGCTCACTCTGTTGTAGTTAGGCTTCTTCTGCTCATTATGCTGTTTCTGAGATGCCTCCGTGTTGGCTGGTGCATGGATTGGAAGTTCGTTACTTTCTATTGCTGATCAATGCTCCCCTTCGTTCTGTAAATAGACCCTAGCTGGTTAGCCGCTCGTCTGCTAATGGGCATCCACGCTGGTTCCAGGTTGAGCCAATACAAATCAAGTTGCTACATGCACCCGACAGAAGCCTTTTCATGCCCACCTATTTGCATTTCTCTTGGGTAAATACGAGAAACCGGGTTGCTGGGTCTTAGGTCAGGTATATAACTTTGTAAGAAACTGCCAAACTGCCTTCCAGAATGGTTGCATCATTTCATGTCCGTGTCAGTTGTGCTGGGGTTCAGGCTGGTCCCGTTCCTCTCCTCACTCGGTACTGCCCGTCATCTTGATGCAGCCGCGCCGGTGGGCGTGTGGTAATTATCCCATGCTGGTTTTATTGTACATTTCCCTGGTTTCTGATGGTTCTGAGCCTTTTTATTGCTAGTCATTAATGTATCGTCCTCCGCACCCCGTCATTTTTTCAAACACACGTAAAAGTTGAAAAAACTCTTATCAGACACGTCCATACGTCCAACTAGAGTCTCCAATTAACATTTTGCTAAATTTCTTTTATCACGTATCCATCCGTCTTTCTGTCCATCCTTAATATCTCTTCCTCTTATTGCCCTAGCAAAGTAAGTGAAAAACACGAGACTTCTCCGCTCGTAAACACGTCAGCGTACAGCTCACTAAGTAGGTGTCAACGTTTGTTTGCAGTTCTTTTTTTTATTTAGAGGAGGGGACTGATTCACGGAAAGGGAAACCACCAGTCTTAAGCAGACGATTTGGGGAGTTCTGAAACACGCATACGCCACTGTCACCCAAGCCCCTGTCAAGACACAGACCGCTATGACACAGAAGCTTCCCCGGTGCCTCCGCCCCAGTCCTAAATACTTTTGCCAGTCCCTGAGACGGAAATATATTCTCTAATTTCTTCTAAAAAGTTACAGTTTTAACTTTTACATGTAGATTTCTGATCTATCTCAAATAAGTATTTTGTGGATGATATGAAGTGGAGTTAAAACTTGTTTTCTTCCCCACACGGATATCCAGTCGCTT